TATTCATTGCATCATCAGCAGATTCAAATACCTCATATCCAGCCCATAAGAAAGGAATTTAAATCTTAATGCTTAATCCATGTTTTTAGAAACATTTTGCTATTTATAAGGAAATATCTTTAAAGTTTATTAAGAGCTGGAATTTTATGTGCTTTTGTAGTACCATGGCTAAATGACATAAGCTGCCAAAATCTGTCATTTAACAGAGTATTGTTTATATTCTGAAATACAGGTTAAAAATAGTATGTCAAGAACTGTGATCATAGTTTAATTACCTGGAGGATGCAAAGTTTCCAGTTATTTCAGTCCAGAATACAGTTCCAGAAGCATGCCTAGAAAACAGGAAATTTTCCTGGGAAAGATTCAGTCAGCAGTGGTGTTTTACTCTTCTATATCATCATAGCCAGCCTAGCAGATTTGTACAGGTCTGTCTTATAAACTCTGTGCTTCTGTTAATGTAAGATACATCTCTTCTGTGGTAATTGACCCACACAGTACTATCTGCAAAGTCTTCTTTATGTAGACTCGGAATAGGGAGTTCCTTTTTTTCTTCTTCTTTTCCTCATAGTTTTTCTGGCTCTTCCTAGTGTTCCCTTGGCATTTTTATGCCTAATGTGTTGTGAAATCTAATCAATTGCAATAATTAAAACATATTCTATGTGGAATGATGCATAACTTTAATTACACAACAGTGTCTCAGACAAATAAAAGGTTTAGATTCTTACATTAGAAGAACCCAAACTACTCTATTTTGCTGTAATTTTTTTTCACCAAGAACAGACTCATGCTTATAGATGAAACGGATAAAACACTAAAAATTCCAGGCTTACTAGACTGAAATATAGTGCTATTTTTTTAATTAAAGTAGCTGGCAGACTTCATGCTTTTGTGTTATGAGGATATGAATGAATGGCTGGAACAAACAGATAGATGGTTGTTTTCAATAAAACACCCTGGGTGGCAACTCTGAACAGGAAAGTTTTGTGTTCAAGATCTATAAAATGCATGTAGTTTTAGCGATGTCACATTCACTGACTCACCTCTTTTCTAGAATGTTTTTTATGCTGGTGAACATTTAGGCATAAAGTAAATTCCTCACGACAGACCGAAATGCCAGTGTTTCCTAATTAAAATCAGTTTGATGACAATTGGGCAGATACATTCTTACAGCTTTCTTTTTGTAATGAACAATGCATGTCAAGTAATTGGGTCCTGGTATTATACAGCTTTTGCCAATGCTGTTATTTACATTCTGATGCTGGCCCCAATGAGGCTCCATCAGCTTGACAGAAACTGCAAGCTCAACAATTCAGACCTCTGTCTTGTTCATTTGTACTTTGAATTCTGAAAATATAATTATGTTATTGAGTATTTTAGAGAATTCAAGCCTGCATTAGCTATTTCACAGTGATTTCAGTGAAGTGGATAAGCTAGTATAGCTTATTTAAGCTTGTAGTTTTATTCCAGTGAAATCTGATACAGGCACCTTTCACAGTATGAAAGGTAGTTATTGCTCTTTTATAGTGTTTCCTTTTGTCTGTCATAGCTGCAGGACACCACAAATTTCAGTAATTAGCCCTGCCCAGGTATGCAGTGTTATTGCCCTCATTCTTTACTAAGATTGGCTTCTTTTGCTGGTGTGAGTAGCAGAAATTTTAGAAGGAAGTATAGCCCTCCTAAATAGGATAGATTAGCCTAAGGATGCTTTTTAAACGGGCTATATGTGATGTACAAGATGATGCCAAGTACAGACCCAAACACCATGACCAATTTCAGTTTGTGCTTAAAGAGCTGAATTTTCCTTAGTAACCCATAGATAAAACAAGTTTACTGATATTTTTCTAAAAGCTACAGTAGGGCAGCCTTTCCATTTCTGTAGCCACTATCACCACTGTGACCAGTACCTCTGCATACACCCTTCACACTTGCGTTCTGCTTAGCTGCATTTCAGTCTTCTTGAGTGTTCCAGCAATTTTGTCAGACTTAGTGTGTTCTTGGAATATCACCAAGTGGATTTAACAGTACCATTTCTGAGAAATGAGAGTAAATATTTTTATGAACGAGCTTAAACTGAGCTTTAAAGTAAGGAAAGGGGTCAACAAAACCTCTGCCTTGAACTTCCAGAGGGCAGAATTTGGCCTCTTCAGAACACTGGTTCAGAGAGTTCAGAAACATTCTTAATAACAGTAGGGTCCAGGAAGGCTGGACATACTTTTAGAAGGAAATCTTAAAGGCATAGGAGCAAGCCCTTCCTATGTACCAAAAGACAAGCTGACAGGGAAGAAGACCACCCTGGCTGAACAGGGAGCTTTCATAGGAGTTCAGGAAAAAAAGAGAGTATATCACCTTTGGAAGAAAGAAGCAAGCAAGTCAGAAAGAGTACAAGGATGTCATTAGGCCATGTAGAAAGAAAATTAGAAAGGAGAAGGCTCAGCTAGAACTCAATCTGGCCACTGCTGTGAAAGATAATGAAAAGTGTTTTTATAAATACATCAACAACAAAAAGAGGGATATGGAAAATCTCTGTCCTTTATTGGATGCTGGAGGGAACATTGTCACCCATGGATGAGGAAAAGGTTGATGTACTTAATACCTTCTTTGCCTCAGTCTTCAATAGAAAGACCATTTATCCTCAGGGCATCTGGCCCCCTGAGCTGGTAGACAGCGACAGGGAGCAGAATAGACCCTCTGCAATCCAGTACGAATCTGTTAGTGACCTGCTAAGACACTCACAGGTCTATGGGGTCGGATGGAATGCACCTGAGGATACTGAGAGAACTGTCAGAAGAACCTGCCAAGCCACTCTCCAGCTTTTATGATCAGTCCTGGTTAACAGGAGAGGTCACAGATGGCTGGAGGTTATCCAGTGTGACACCCATTTAAAAGAGGGTCAGAAAGATGATCCAGGGAACTACAGGCCTGTGAGCCTGACCTCAGTGCCAGGAAGGTTATGGAACAGATTATCTTGAGTGTGATCGCACGGCACATACAGGATAACCAGGGGATCAGGCCCAGACAGTAGAGGTTTAGGGAAGGCAAGTCCTGCTTGACCAACCTGATCTCCTTTTATGACCAGGTGACCCACCTAGTGAATGAAGGAAAAGCTGTGGATGTTGACTAGCTGGACTTCAATAAAGCCTTCGATACTGTCTCGCACAGCATTCTCTTGGAGAAGATGGTAGCCCATGGCTTGGACAGATGTACTCTTTGTTGGGTTAAGAACTGGCTGGATATCCAGGACTGGGGAGTGGTGGTAAACAATGCTACATCCAGCTGGTATCCAGTCACTAGTGGGATTTCCCAAGGCTCAGTACTGGGGCCAGTCCTGTTTAATATCTTCATCAATGATCTGGGCGTAGGATTGAGTGCTCCCTGAGTAAGTTTTCAGTCTACACTATGTTGGATGGGAGTGTTGATCTGCCGAAGGGTAGGAAGGCTCTGCAGAGGGATCTGGACAGGCTGGATTGATGGGTTGAAGCCAACTGTATGAGGTTCAACAAGGCCAAGTGCCAGGTCCTGCACTTTGGCAGAATCCCATGTAGTGCTACAGGCTTGAGGAAGAGTGGCTGGAAAGTGGCCAAGTGGAAAAGAATGTGGGAGTGCTGCTCATCAGCCAGCTGAGCACAAGCCAGCAGTGTGCCCAGGTGGTCAAAAGGCCAGTGGTATCCTGGCTTAGATCAGAAATAGTGTGTCCAGAAGGATGAGGGCAGTGATTGTCCCCCTGTACTCAGCACTGGTGAGGCCACATCTCAAGTGCCTTGTCCTATTCTGGGCTTCTCACTACAAGAAGGATGTTGAGGTGCTGGAGCATGTCCAGAGAAGGGCAACAGAACTGATAAAGGTCTGAAGCACAAGTTCTATGAGGAGTGGCAGAGGGAGCTGGAGTTGTTCAACCTGGAATAAAGGAGACTCAGGGGAGACCTCATCACTCTCTACAATTACCTAAAAGGAGGTTGCAGCAAGGTGGAGGGTGGCCTCTTTTCCCAGGCAAACCAGTGACAGGACAAGAGAAAATGGCCTCAAGCTGTGCCAGGGGAGGTTTGGGAAGAATTTCTTCAATGAAAGAAGAAATTGTCAGGCATTGGAACAGGCTGCCTAGGGAATCACCGTCCTTTGATGCGTTCAAGAAATGACTGGCATGGCAGTTAGCTCTATGGTTAAGTTGGCGTGGTGGTGTTTGGTCAAAGGTTGGACTTGATGATCTTGGCAATACTTTCTGACCTTAATGTTTCTGTGATTCTATGAAAATAAGTAACAAACTATATCAGAAAACCTATATCCTTAGACAAATCAAAACTTCATTTCTAGGAAGCATTTGCATACTTACACATTTTAATAATGATGAGAAACTAAGTTCTCCTTCATATTACTTTCATCTTAACATCTTGCTCTCAACCTAATTCAGGGCCAATGCCTTCAATTCTTGTAGCGTCTGACATTTTTTAAGACATGACAATTAGACAGGACTAGTCTCCTGAACACTGATCTCATTTATTCTTCTTGACTTTGAGTCCATAAATTTATGCTTGTCTAGAAAAGTGTGCACTATGTAGTACTAAATTAACAGCTTATACACAGTCATTCTCAATCAACCTCTGCACTGTGTAAAGTTTTACGTAATTACAATTAATGCAGGAAATTAATAATGTTCAGCACATTAGCAGGAACTATATACTCACTTGGTAACTTGTAATAATAAAGAACATCTCCTACTGTAATTCTAAATTGGTAAGACCAGTCACAGCTTGTTTTCTGAAATGAATTGATTTACTGCAGGCAGTAAAGCCAATCAGGTTTTGACCATGTTTAAGATGATTCCAATGTTTTCTCTCTGTGCAAAATTCAAAACAATAAAAAAAAAAAAAAATAAATGTAGCAGCCAAAGCGGTTTCCACCATTCTGTGTTTATTTGACACATGCACATCTGAAAGGATTTAAACAAGCCCTGACAAGTGCGTTTCTATCAATCTAACCAAAATATTGTTTATTTTGTTTTACAGATTTTGGCCATTGTATCCATTCTGTTCATCGTACTGTCCACCATTGCTTTGTCTCTTAACACACTGCCAGAGCTGCAAGAAATAGATGAATTTGGGCAGCCAAATGACAACCCTCAGCTAGCACACGTTGAAGCTGTGTGTATCGCTTGGTTTACCATGGAGTACCTTTTGCGTTTTCTGTCCTCACCAAATAAGTGGAAGTTCTTCAAAGGCCCATTAAATGTCATTGACTTACTGGCTATCTTGCCATACTATGTCACCATTTTCCTCACGGAGTCCAATAAAAGTGTCCTGCAGTTCCAAAACGTCAGACGTGTGGTTCAGATATTTCGTATTATGAGGATCCTAAGGATTCTTAAGCTTGCCAGACATTCAACAGGCCTTCAGTCTTTAGGTTTTACACTCAGGCGGAGTTACAATGAATTGGGCTTGTTGATATTATTTTTAGCCATGGGAATAATGATATTTTCAAGTCTTGTATTCTTTGCTGAAAAGGATGAGGATGCTACAAAATTTACAAGTATTCCTGCATCATTCTGGTGGGCAACAATCACTATGACTACTGTAGGATATGGTGACATTTATCCTAAGACCTTATTAGGTAAAATAGTTGGTGGACTTTGCTGCATCGCTGGAGTGCTGGTCATAGCTCTGCCCATACCAATTATTGTGAACAATTTCTCAGAGTTTTATAAGGAGCAGAAAAGACAGGAGAAGGCAATTAAGAGGAGAGAAGCACTTGAGCGAGCTAAAAGAAATGGCAGTATTGTCTCCATGAATCTTAAAGATGCCTTTGCTCGCAGTATGGAAATGATAGATGTAGCAGTAGATTCAGGTAAGCTTGGAGAAGCAGTCAATCCAAAGGAGACATCTGATGACAACCACCTATCCCCAAGCCGGTGGAAATGGGCCAGAAGGACAATGTCTGAAACAAGCTCAAACAAGTCTTATGAGAACAAGTACCAAGAAGTTAGTCAACAAGACTCCCACGAGCAATTAAACAATGCTGCAGCATCCTCCAGCCCTCAGCACCTCAGTGCCCAAAAACTGGAGATGCTGTATAATGAAATTACTAAAACTCAGTCTCAGCCTAATCTTAATGCTGGTTACCAAGACCAGTCAGCAAAGCCACCCATGTATGAAGAAGAAATAGAAATGGAAGAAGTTTCAGGTCAGAGAGATCCGTTACCAGCTGGACCTACGGACATCGTAACGGACATGAGAAGCACATCCAGTATCGACAGTTTTGCCAGTTGTGCAACTGACTTCACAGAAACAGAGAGGTCTCCCCTCTCTCTGTTTCCTGGCTCTCACCTGCAAATGAGATTTCCAGCTGATGCTGTTAACCTGGAAGAAAACCAAAGAGCAAGAAGTTCTCAGTTTATACCATTTGCAAAAGACAGAGGATTTTCTCCAACCGACATCACCTTTGACTATAATCCAATCAACAGAGCTGTTATCAGTGATGGCAGTGGGTCCCAAACTGTTTTACATGGTCATTTGCATTTTGACTCTTCCATGGAAAGTCCCAAAAGTTCCCTGAAAGGTAGCAACCCATTAAAATCTAGGTCCCTTAAAGTTAATTTTAAAGACAATAGAGGTGGTGCTCCACAAACTCCACCGAGCACCGCAAGGCCACTGCCAGTGACAGCAGGAGCAGACTTCACACAGACCACCCCCCAGCACATCAGCACCATTCTTCTAGAAGAAAATTCCCCACAAGGTGAACGGCCTGTACTTGGTGCTGACGCACCTGCACTTTGTCAGGGACCTGTTAAAAGATCATCCCCTCTCTTTCCCAAGCATAAGATTTTCACTTTCCCTTCAAAAGAGAGAAGGAGCTTCACTGAAATAGACACTGCAGAAGAAGAAGAGTTTATGGAGTTACGTGGTATGAAACATGAAAAACAAAAGGATATCAAGACAAATTGCTGTGGGGATAAACGGAGTGATGGCAACAATTTAACAGAGGAGCCACAAGTCAGCTCTTCACCCAAAAGCATGAGCCACAACTGTACTCAAGACATTTACCATGCTGTGGGTGAGGTAAAGCCAGACAGTAACCAAGAAGGTCACAAAATGGAAAACCATTTATTTGCCCCAGAAATTCATTCAAGTCCAGGAGAAACTGGTTATTGTCCCACACGCGAAACTAGCATGTGACTAGTTACAGAAGCAATAAAAATACCTTTTCTTAAAACACTGTTAGTAATGCCTATGAACTAAAACATGGAAAGCCTCAACAAAAGTGCATAAAATGTTATTTTTGCATGGCATGAAGAGTTGTTTAGTTTAAATACTGTTTAATTAAAAAAAAAAAAAGACTGCTTTTTGTAACAAACTGAAAAAAAAAAACAGGGAAAAAATGACTCAAGAACAGTGAATAAAATAAAGAGAGCTCTGTTAGGAGCCAGTGTTCTGCTACATCTGACATTTTTGATCCTTTCACTTATGATTGTAGACAGGTTTTGAACTCTTTTAACTTTTTTTTTCTTGGTTACATGAATTTTAGAATTTGCACACGAAAGGATGAAATGTCAATGCATGCATTCATAAAGATGTGAAACAAGGTGCTTTGAGCTTGCAAAATGCATATATTTGTAAATAGTTGGGGGTTGGGGGGACAGCTACGGTTAACAAGGATTTATGGAAAAAGCGTTTCCTGGGACACAGGTACTTCCTTCACAGCATGCTGCCTGGAGGTTTTGTACAGACTTATGTTGCAAAATTGCAACTTCTACTTAAAGCATCTCACATATCTTGCTTTCTGTTAAAAAGCTCATGAGTATATCTGTTAATTAATGACTACAGTGTTTTTAGTTTTTCTGTGCTGTAAATCATGATAGTTTTTTTTATTTGAATAACTTCTGTTATTGCATTTGTCAGTTTAATTAATGATCCTGTGAGGAAAAGCAAAGATTTAATGACCAGAACGTGAAGCATTTGATATTTTTATAGAAAACTGCCAACATTTCATAACTGAAGAAAAAGTTCCATTTTAAAATTTAAACACCATAGTTATTTCTGTGGCAATAAATAGTGCCAAATGGCTATACAGATACATACAAAAGTTTTCAATCTCTTGGAATATAATTGGGTATTAAAAAATATTTTCCACATTCCCTTTTTTTCCTTTGAATTAACACTTTTTGCTTCCACTTACCATAGTGGATCTAGGTTAATTTTTACTCATCTATCATTTTCTGTCAAATAAGTAACAACCAGGCATCTAATGCATTTAATGTAAAGGAGCAATCCTTTTTCTTGCAACATTGCCCTTTGCTTGAAATGGCTGGGCTGATGCCACAGACCCCATGGAAAAGAGGTAAGTTTGAAGAGCCCCAAAATCAGGATCCTGGTGACTGGGCCTAACAATGAGCAGAGCACTATCATTTGGTTAAAAAAAAAAAAAAAAGTCTTCTATATTTCCATAAGTTTTCTAAGGTCTGTAAAAAGATAATATTGAAGCATCTCTTCAGTCATTTGAATAACTGGGAACATAATGGGGTTTTTTTCAAATAGTGTCTGGTCATTAATTCTCAAAATAATTTTTTTTCTTTAGTTGCAGTTCATTGCAACTTGTTGCTGCATTCAGTTGTGTGTATTTATATGGCATTCTGTGTAACGTTTTTCAATGATGTTGTGTCTCACTGTCCCCAAATTTAGTTCTTGATATTTTATAGTCATTATTCTATATTTATTTTTCAGTTCCTGGATATTTCGGTGACTGAAACCAAATGCCAGTCAATTTTTATATGCCTGAAGTGTTGGTTTGTATTTTCTATGTGCAGTTTTATGAAATCACGTGGGCCTGTTCGATCTGCCTTTTCATCCTAGTGAACTATCGAAGTCTAAATTAAGACCAAATGGGACCTGGTTCCATGCCCTGGATCCACAGAAAATTCTCTTTCAAGACAATGATGGTGTTCTGACCAGATTGAGGTCTGTGTGCTTCTTCACCCAGGTGACCCTTACACTTTGGAAAAGCCCCCTCAGACCTGTGCCACTTGATGAAAAGGGAGGAGTCCAGCCATAGGGATCATATTGCAGGAACAGATTTGATTCCTTAAGCTCTTCTCAGTTAAACTTTATGCAAAGCTTATTCTGCCCTATTAAAGTCACTACAAATTCAAAAGTGGTAAAATTAAGGCCTCAGTCCTTGTGCAGATGAATTTCCCCTCAAAACAATGGGAGTCTGGTGGAAAAAGAGACTGAAATATAAATGAGGATGGCAAGACTCTCTCCCTCTTGATGGAAATCAACAGGAGCTTTAACTATATAAATCAGATGAAAGACCAGGCCCTTATTGGCCACTGTATTTTAAATGTTTTCATAGAAGCACATTTATTTTGAAAGCAAAAGAAATGCAATTCACTTTATAAACAGATGATGTATTTTCTTTTTTTAAAATCTTGGAAGCAAAATTATTGAGATTTAGAAGTACTTTTGGTATAATTTCATTATATACTTTTGACTATGCTGAATACTATTTTGAGAAGCACAGGTTTAGACGTGTTTTTTCCAGTCTTGACTGCATATACGGGATCCCACTTCTGGATACCTAGCTCATGCATAATTCCTAATTAAAACATCTACTTGAACAGTTGCAGGACTGGATCTAGATTTCAATCCAGTACAGCAGGTGTTAAGAAGTGCAATCCAGGAACATTTCTTTCATCGTGAATTGATATGCAGCAAATTCTGTAAAATTACACAAGTATATTTTTCTGGTTTTCTAAAACTTTGAAGCCATTTCAGACTTATTACCCATTCACCACAGTAAGGGGAGAATGTGTTGGAGCTATGGAGTCAGTCTCCAATCCCAGCTGTGCGATTTCAAAACAGCTTAAGGAGTCTTAGGAAGAAGTGACTCCCCTGTGCACCTGAAAGGGGTCTGACTCCTCGTATCACTGGAAAATGAAGAATGTTCAGGGAGATAGCTTTGCAATTAATCTATTTTTTATATTTTTTTATGAACTGCAGAATCCTGAATCAAAGTTTTAATTCCTTTTCAATGATGAAACCAAATGCACATATTGAAAAGATGTTCACAGAGTAATTAGAACAGTTTTTGACTAACAGTCACGTTAATTAAAGTCTGGGTGGGATGGGGGCAATAATATGTCGCACAAACTGCAAAGGAAGTTCCTACAGGAAAGCTGTTTACAGGGAAAGCATACAATGTTATGTAAAGAATGTAACATGGTGTAGGAAGTTTTTGCACTACAGAATTTATATGAAATACACTTTTTTAAATGAAAACACAAAAGGCCTTTTAATGCTACATTGTATAGAAGATAGGAGCATCTGTGCTAATGCAGCAATCTAATGCACTGTGTCCTCACTTCACAATTGGTCTCAAAATTCAAACATTATTCATTTTAGAGAGGTGATATCTGATCTAATACTAGAGCAACTGACTTGAAGAGCTGTTTAGCACACTATTACATAACCCAAAGTCTGTACAGACAGTTGTATTTTTACCTATAACATTCATAAATCAAATTGACAGTTGGATTCTGGAGTCATTTCCTAACAGGTAACACCTGGCAACATATTTGTATTCCTTGGAAAACTAGTTCTTTTAAAAGCAGACCTCTTCCCCTACGTGTTGACTGAGCTGCTGTTTCCTTCAAGGTTTACCTTCAAATTATTTAATTAACTCCTTCAACCTCATCTCTAAACCACAGTCCAGTACAAAACCACTTGTCTTTTTGAAGCCCTATTGCAAATACATTCAGATTGGTAAAAATATCCAGGGCTTGCCTGACTGGCTTTTTCAATGAAACAGCTTTTGAATCACTTGGATAGAAAATAAATCTTAATATTTTGATCATGCAAAAATATTTTAAAAGCAAAAAAATGCAATATGCCTTTTTTTTCCAAAGTAGCCAGCACAGATTGAGCAAGAAATGCAAACACAGCAAAGGGAGGAAGAAGGGAAGAAAACTGTAAGTAAACAAGGCATGTTTTAGTAAACTGTGTAAAAAAAGAGATATAATAAATCATATATACAATAGTCCTTATTCACTCAATGAGGAAGAATGTCAGTAGCAAAAGATTGAATTCCAGTCCAACTCCATCTTAATTTTTTTACTAGAACGACAGGTCTCTACTACAGTGATGCTATTACCCACTCACCTGCCACATGAATATCTGATCTGTAATAATTTTTCAGACTTTCCTGAAAAAGAAGATACTATGTGTTGCTATCTTTGTTGATCTTTGGATCTCTTCCCATTGCCATCCAAACACTTCTTCTTGGGAGCAGTCAGAAGGCAGTGCACCCAACAAGATGATACGTATGTCTTGTCAGGAAAGTGTTTTGGTAGTCTGGTGCAAATAAGATGGACTCTGTTGCATTTGAACCAAGGAAGAAGAGCTGAGTGTCCCTTCTTCTTGTTATTTTTCCAGCCATACCATCTCACAGCTTCACGTTTTCTAGTTTTAAAGTGCTCTGAATCCTCCAGTGTCTGCCACAGTGTCCCCAAGCTCCATGCAAGATGTCTCAGTGTTCTTGGAAGAACTTTTGTGAAAGCAACTGACTGGAAAATGCTATTAAGACAGCCATTGGTCTCAGCGTGAATATTTGTCTCTCGTCCAGTCTGTTTTTATTTCTTAGCTGTAGTCAGTTTAAGCTCCAGCTGAAATGCTTTCTAAAACAGATCAGGTGTTCTGGGAGCCAAACCCTTAGCAGGTCCTCTATCAGTTTCCTTTGCACAGAAAGGTTAGGTGACTGGCAGGCAAAAATGAGAGACAAAATTGTTTGCATCATGGTGATGTTTTGTTCAGTGATCATACACCAGGGGACATCTGCAGGCAAGGTAATGTACTTGTCTTTGTATTTATTTTGTGGCAGCTTTAAGAAATATTTTTTGAAAATGTTGTGCTATGATATTTAGGAAGTATTACCTGTTAGGACAATGGAGATTTCTTCCAAAACAGCAGTGGTACCTTATAGTCCTACATTGTTATTGATTACTATTTAATTATCTTTTATGAAACCTAACACAGATCCAGATGAATGCCATTGTGGAACAAGGAAGTAGCAGACAAATATTAGCGCTCTTTTTACTTAAAAGTAGCTAAAGAACATGGTATTAGCTAACATTTAATCCAAAAGAAGATAAGATTATTCTAATTAAACCTATCAGCAAAACAGAATGGTGACCTGTCATTACCTTAGACATGGACTGTAGTCCTGTGATTAATATAAAACCTGAATTTAAGAGCAGTCTGTGTAATTTATTTCGTTAGGGTAATTTTTAAACTCAAATAAGTATTTAAATACGTATTCAAAATCAGCAGGGGTAATATACATTTCTAAACCTGGAATTCTATGGTTATATTTACACTGGTATCTTAGTGGAAATCAGGAGAGCTCTCCTGGCATGAATCTCTCAGCTATCCCTGCTTTTTGTGCTTTGATTCACATCACAGAGCAATCCTAGACCATGTAAACTGGATTACTTTTAGATGAAGCTGAAACAGGAAACTTCTTCCATGAGGGCACCTGCTGTGTTGCAACCAGGATGAAGCATTCAGGCCCTGGCACCAGATGAGAGCTAGACCAAAACTGTACCCCAATACATGTAGTATAAATTGTCAACACAAACCGTTATCCTCAACAAATCTGCTTGTATTGTACTACTTGCTAATGTAGACATAGACTGTCTCACCCATGGTTACTATCTCCAGTCCATGTAGTCTTGGCTAAATCCCTTACTCAAGCAGATTTTGTCATTGTCATCAGTAGTATTGCATAAAAAGAGCAATGTATAGCCAAAGATGAAATTGTCCCCAGTGTGTTCCCCAGCTTAGCCCAGGTGGAATCATTTAAACAATAAGTTCTTGATAACTTTGGATAGTTGCAGTTTGTAGTTTGGACCAGACTCTTACATACTGCATAGTTCTACAGTCAGTTTAGTCTAAAGCTGGTGTAACATCTGATGAAGACAGTACAGACAGCACTAGACTGACTTACTCCAGAATCAGTGGAATGATTAAACTGACTGCAAGTAGCCCTATTTCACTTAACAGTAATTCTTTCTTTATATGGTATGAATAAAAGCAAATGGCCGTGCAGTGATGGAGGATCAGAAGCCCAGCTTGAGTATTTTGTGCCTATCTACCATGTCTAGATATCTTTCCATTTGGATCACGGTTGAAGTTTATTTAAATTGAGGAACTAGTAGGGTTTTGATTGTGTGCTGAGTTGCTCTGATGTCTAGGACATACCTTGTAAAAGGTAATGCACGAAACAAAAAGCCTATTCCTTATCTTACCGTTTTTAATGATTTCAAGGTGAAGGACATAAGTTTTATAGTGATATTTTTGCTCTAAGTTTTGCTCAGATAGCATCTCTCAGCGGAGGTTCAGAATACAAAACACTTATGCCTGTTCTTGAAGTCCTTAAGCAGAATGCCAATGGGAATTCTGCCTGTATAAAACTGAAGGATGGAGCAATATATTATAGCATTAGGCAAAAGGAACAGTTTCTAACATGCTACAAAATGAAAAAAAAAAAAAAAAACAACACAACAAAAAACACTTTTGGGGACAATCATGGGTACTTCTGCTAGGATGCAGAGTTCTGGCTTTATACCTCTAAATTTTCAGAGTTCTGAAGAGTTTTACCTTATAACTCTTTCAAAAGTCAAAGGAGCCATGCTGATAAGATGAAACATGGAGGGATTAGTGTACAAAGAATCTGAACATTGAATACATAGCCTATTGCTTTAAGATCACTGTAAATATCAACTAAAAATGTGATTAATTCATGTTTATACGTTATTACTGTGTTAGTTTCATAGATACGGTAGCATGACTATTATTAGTTTTATTGAGTTTAATGGACTTTACTTTGTATTCCTCTGTGAATGCTCTGAATGCTGCAAACAAAAAAAGCACAACAGTATTTTTTCAAGTTCTCTTGGGGCGATAGTAGTGTCTTCACTATTGTTCAGTTTTACAGATTTAGCAACATTTCATCATAAATTGCTATGTTAATAACATATCTTTCTTTAAAAGTACTGTCACTAGGAGATAAAAGCATATGTGATAAGTGTTGTCTAATCTCATTCATCTGCCTTTACAAAATGCCCCAGACATTTTGTGGGAGAATATGCTGCTTTTGCTTCATGCGTTGTTTGTATTTGGGGGTGGGGCAGGGGAATAATAGGGCATTTTGCAATGGTAATTGCATCAAACATGCTTTTTTCATTATTATTGTATTTGTTAGAAACATTTTGATTTAGTTAATTTCTGTAGATAAAACTTTGGCAATAGCTTTATTTTTTCAACTAACCGTTTGATTTCACTAGACTAATAACTTCTCACATTTAGTGATATTCGTATCAATGTCTCCATATCAGCTGCATTTTAACTTCATAAGAAAGGAAGTGTGATTATTATTTTTGTCATAATAGATTTTGCTGATCAACTAAATATTTCTGCACCAATCTACATATTAATATGCATGTTGTAGTCTGTACAATTGTTCAACATCAAAATATCTGTTTAATTTATGTCAAATGTCTGTAAAATAAATGCATTGTTCTCCATTTCAGTCTGATAGAACAAGCAGGATAGTAAATAAATGTGTAAATGAATCATCTGTGTCTCATTTCAGTTCTCGTCATGAAACCACTTTACATTGAACATTGCATATATACCAAAACAATAACCCATAGTGTCTTCAGATTTCATTATTTAACAATATTATGAAAGGATCTCTGGCAGACCGTATGTACAGAAATAAATCACTTGGCTATGCAAATAAAGTCAGATTCCATTTAAAAAAAAAAAAAAAGAAATGTAATGCTTCTAAGCCTTTTTTTCCTCTCTGTTCAGAATTACTGCTAATTATTACTTGCACTGTCATAGATACAAAACCTCAAACGGCTTTACAAGGATGACTAAACATTATTACCTGCAGGATGGAAAGCAGAAGCAAGAAAATATTTAGTAGTCCTTTTTTGGCCAGTTAAACCTAGGTACCTCAGCCTAACATTCAGACATAGTGGGTAAACAAATAAGGAACAACCTAGCTTGGATCCCATCACCTTCTTGCCTAAAGTGGACCGATTTTTAAATAGGCCAAAAACTGTAAGAGAAAATTTAAGTTGTAGTGGCAGTTATTTTACTCCTTTGAGTCAGGGAAAAAACTGATTTTTTTTTTTTTTACAGGCTAAGTTTTGCATCAAATCCACCTATAACAGAGCAACTCTACCATTCAGAAAATAAGGAATATGATTCCCTCAGCTTCAAATTAGAAAGCTGTTTTTTAAGTTTCTACATCTGAAGAGCATTACAATGAAATAAAAATGGAAGTCAAAACTCATCCCTTTGGTGACCATGCTGATAACAATTTTTATGCAAGAGCACAGAGACACACTTTAGTTTCACAACCTCACTGTGCTGTACATCTCTTAATACACCATTCACTGCATGGCAGAGCTTCTTCCCTTTCTGCTTTTAATCTAAGGGTTCTCTCTATGAATGTGCAGCACTGAACATAAATCTAAATTTGTTCTATCTTCCTATTCTACCTCAAACACATTCCCAACCTCCTCTTTCCTTAAAAACAAAGCCCACATCCTTCCTACTGCTTCTCCCTGTCTATTCTTCTTGGCATTGATCCAAATAATTACATTCTAAGGAAAGTATTAGGGGGTTTGTATATTGTTCTATAACCAAGCAGCCTGCAGCCCACATATCTGATGATGGTACCCAAAAGTACTTGCAAAACTGCATTTCTGCATCTATATTCCAGCTGCCATGTGGTTCTATCCTGCAGCAAACCTGGGCCTTATATACGCCCCCTGATCCTCCAGATTTTGACTAACCAGAAAGGTCACATAGGAGAAAAAAAGTGAGAGCATTTTCTAGAAAGCACTGAGTCTGGTCAGTCAAGGGACCAAGATACACCACTGTAGCTCCAAGCTCAAAATCTCTCCAATCATGCCCTGAGCATAGATCTTTCTGTTCTAGCTATCTTCGTGTTTTCCCATCTCCTCCTCTCCCTCTTTTCTTTCTTGGGGAGCACGTTTGAAACAAATGTGTAGCACCCCACCATCTCATTCCAGCTCCTAAGTGGCCTAAGAAAGGAACTGACTCAGTGCTAGCAAGGAAATAAAATACAGAAAATCTCCACTATTTTATTGTTTCAATCTGACCTATGGCTGAACACAAGTGCAGCTAGAAAGCAAGCAAACTGTTTTATGGTAACCTGCAAATGTGATATGTGGTTGGGATTAGGTCCTAAAGAAAGAAATATTCTTGGCAGATCAAGAATAGAACAGAACAGAACAGGAACAGAACAGGTCAATAGAGATCATACTGACAAAGTACTGAGATGGCAGTAGGTTAGCATAAAAGTATTCTTCCCTAATCAATTCAGATAAAAAAAAAATCAAACATTTCTAGATATAAATTAGGGAAGGAAATAACCTAAATCATCATCATCATCATCATCATGGCTAGGCTTCGCGAACGAAGATTTGAAAGGGCTCTACCCACGCTTGCTACAAGCGCGAAACCTAAATAGGATATAATGTTAAACCTTAATTTTACAGTATAGGCTTAAATCATGTTTCTGCTGACTCTCTGAATGCAAAGTTTCATTGAGTATAGAAAAAAGCTATATCAAAAGTTGACTAAAATTGGTTTAGACCATTTTTTGTCTCCAGAAACCCATGACCACTCTTATGTCTCAAAGAAGATTATGTAAGTAAGCAGGCACTTTTCAATATTTCAGCACTATTTTCTCCTTAGTCATACACTGAAATGATACCAGAACTGCAACATGTAAAGTCATTTTCATTTCATCAGTATACAATGAAAACACTAATCAAAATCATAACTGCATCTTGCAAGAAACACAAAAGTTTTGACTTACATTTTTTGTTCTGCACTAGAACAAAAAATGGAAACTTAGACACTGTCACTGAAAACCCATAGGGCACACATCAGTATCTCGATTATTGACCTTCCTTCAAGGGTTTACCGGTCTGTTGGCTAACTTGGCTGAAAACTACAAACACTTTGGCTTAATGAGGATTTTATCTGAGTCTAGTAGCTACAGGTGAGCTAAGACGAAGTTGGATGTTGGATGTGTATTTTCCTCTCTAATGAAAACACAGCCACAAGACCAGGGAGACAAAAATATTTGTTAAGCGCCAATGTGCCTTCAAATGCATTAAATTGTATCTTAAAAAGCATTTAATAATGTCAAGCTACTATAACTATAAAGTACATTTTATTTGCAGAAAGTATACAGCACCAGAAGGAATACATTTTTAAGTTATTATAAATAAGCATGATTTGTTTTGTTATTTCTCACCCTTCATACTCATGTTCTCTATAGATTATCATCTTTCCCACACTGGAAACCAGCACAGGAACAATTTATTGCTAATCTCTACTAAATTACCATTTAGGTATTCCTACTATAAAACATTCAGGTTGAGTTATTTTATCATTCACTGTTATTAAACTACTAATGAAACTATTATTGTATTTTGCAGGAGAAATCTATTTTTATGATTTTCTCTCTTATGTTGCAGTTTTCAAATAGCAATTTTCCATTTTTCAAAATCTCTTCCCAGGTCAGTTTGGTTCTACTAGATGGCAAGAGATGAGCTGTCAACTGTGAAGTATCAGTACATTATGCATATCCATGATCTTGAAGTTAAAAAAGCTTCTTAAGATATTTTTGCAATTTAGTGCATTCATTATGGAAAACATTTTAAAGTGAATTTCACTCCAATTAGACTCTGCATAATCCACAGTTAAAAGAGCCATTGTGAATCCCCCAACAGCAGGAAATGTTTTGACCTTATTAAACACGAGTGCATTCAATGACACAACATAGGTCCATAAAGAAGTAGAATTCATTTGCTCAGCCACTCAAGGAACAACCTATATTTACCACCTTTTCCACTATAATTCCTTACCAGTTGTGGTTTAATGATTTCATTAAAATATATAAAGAAACCAGCATAGTTGTACCATACTTGGAAAGGAACTGAGTTTTCAGTTCTCCAGTCCCTTACCAGGGAGAAACATCTTATACCTGTGACTCATCTTCCAGTGGCAAGTCTGCTGACCACCTGAGCAAGTGACTCCTCATACATATGCATACGAACACCCACACACACACAGAGCACATATGGAATCTGGCACTGTCTTAGCACCGAAGCCTGCAACCCAAAACTCTGCAATACTTTGCAATATGTGCGATGATACAGCTACAATCTAGAGAGACTTCTCAGTTCACCAAGGCACAGTAGAAAGATCTCACGGTTCCCACAGCTCTCATTCACGGCTGAACCAAAATAAGTCATTTACCAGGACATCATTTTCCATGCACAGAGAAAAATGGAAGTGTTAACACCCTCACTTCACTGTGATTTCCACGAGGCTTATATATTTGGCACTAAATTAAAAGATATCTAGACTTGAATAATTTCATTCTGGTATAAACAGTTACATCTCCAAAACAATTTTCTTATAGCAGCAACAATACAACTCCTGCTTTAATTATTACCCACTCTTGCTTGCCTGATCACCCTGCTCATCAGGAGCATGTAAGCAAACCCTGGTTTGTAATTTGGAGCAAGTTTCACAAGTATGTTTCTTGGGGAGGACAAAATAAGATTCCCAGTAATCAAAATAAATAAAGATCTTAGTACATACAGAAAGAAAATCAATTTCATAGTGTTAAATAATAACAGAAAAGAGTAGCTTCTGTTTTTCATATCTGAGCCCTCATTCTCAGGCACAAAAATTAATAAAGAAGAAACAAATTTTAACAGGTACCACTGCATAAATATGCCACTACCTCTGCTTTCTGTGAGTAAAGTTTCATTTCAGTATTTCCCTGCAGCTAACAATGAAATTGATTTTTGGATAATCAGCAAGTTTTGTTCTCCTTGCAAATTCTAGTCATGACTTCTGCAGAATTAAAACACAGGGACTGTCAGCAATATATCCAGGGCTCTGAATGAATAAAACTGTAATTTCAGGAGTGTACTAATACTGCAAATTAATTTGACATTCATTGTGATGTCTTATCAAGGCAAACTACTTTCTTATTATGCACGTGTTCAGAGGTATTGTCTGTCACAAGAGCTATTTAAAACAGTGTTAGAAATCTAATGAAGTCTACCAACCTCCCATTTTTAAACAGTTGGGTTGGTAACAGCATCAGATTTAGTCTGACCCGTTCAACTGAATCTCAGATTTTACAGTATTCACCACAACTCATCTCCTCTGACACTTCTACAGATATATAATTAGGTATGTCTCTCTTAACATCATCGCAGTATTTAAAGTTGTTGCAAGTCAATCCTTTTTCTTCCAGTTTGCTAAACACATACAGTGTGCAGCTAGCCAGCAGAGCCAGACAATCATATTTTTAAGATCTTATTTTCACACTGGGAACAGTTGCAAAGCTGTTAGTTCCTAGTGCCTGGCAAACTTAAACAAACACATAAATAAATTATTACTTCTAAACAAGCAAAGTTTCTGAGAGGTCTCTAACGACCATTTCGTGGAGATAAAGTTACCTAAGATGGAACTGTGTATCTCAGGTATAATTCCACAGAAA